TGTGGCCCCTGAAGCAGCAGCAGCAGCACCACCTGAGTGGTGAGAGATGCAAAGTCTCAGGCCCTCCAAGCAGCTGAATCTGAAAACCTAGGGGAGTGTCCCTGCCATCTGTGTTTTCAGGAAATCCCTCAGGTGATCCTAGTACTCTGCAAAGTTTGGAAAGCGCGGAGCAAAGAAACAGAGCCTTTCTTCTTGTCTGGGCTGTTGACACTTACATGATGCCCAGGAAATGTGCCTTGGGCGCCCCCATTTTACAGCTGAGGACATGGGGCCAGAGCGGTTCGGGCACTTAAAGATGTGTCCCAGCCAGGCTGAGCCAAGCCTTTGGGTTCTGGCTTTGGACTCCTTCCCTACCTTTCCTCCCCGTGACCTCCTGCTGTGAGCTGGCAGTGCCTGTTCTAGAATAGTCGAGTGAAGAAGGGCACACTGGGATTTGTGCTGGGGAACTCCGGCTTTCCCACTATTGGGCAGGCAGCGTCCCAGCTATGTGCCCTCCCCAACCCCCATTTTGTAGCCAAACTCTCTGTCACCTTCATTTTCCAGGGGGTCATGCCTCAGAGACTGATATCCTCTGGGCTGATGGAGACGATGGGGTGTCCTTCATGCATCCCAGCTGTGAGCTCTACCTGCAGCCTCTGGCAGGTATTGGCCCCTCCCCGATGATCAGTTCCTGTGCAACACCAAAATACTTAGGACCTGGGCTAGTGTGGTGCATTCTGGGGTGCTTATCAAGTATCTCCTTGTTATGAATTCACCTCAAATACTCGTAAACTCCAGAGCCCCAGAAGAGGGAGTGTGAGGCTTGGCAGAAGTTCTCCCCAAGCTCTCTTACCCGCCCTTAAATTCCTGGCACAGCTCCTTGTTTCAAAGTCCAGGTCTAGAATTAACCATGTGGCTGGAAAAAGTATATATGCCCCCACCCTCACCCCACAACGTCAGTTCTTTCACTCAGAGTCATGGAAAGCCATGGAGAGGTGGAGATTCCACCACACCTCAGTTGTAGTTACTGCTTTTTGAAAGATTGCCAGTGGCAGGTGGAGCTTCAGTTGGCTGAATGCGTGTGCCCAGAGGGCATGGAGCTAGCTGCTGATAACATCACCTGCAGGGGTATGTCCTGTCTTTCCCCAAGATCTGGACTCCTGGGACCACTGGACTGGGGGAGCAGAAGGGCACTGGGAAAGATGTCTGCTGTGTGCCAGGCACTGTGCTAGGTGCTGGGCAGGGACCTGGAGGTGCATCAGTGTGTGCTCTGCCATCAAAAGCAGGTGCTCAGTGGTTTAGTGTGGGACAGATGTGTAGCTGTGTATCCCAAGGTGATAATTGCCATGGAGGTTCTTGGGAGGAAGAGGTTGCATTTGTCAAAGGAAGAGATTATGGAAGAGTTAACACAGGCTGAGTCTTGAAGCCTGGGGAAAACCTGGGGTGGAGGGACAGAGGAGCTTTGTACTAAGGTGTCTCTCTTTTTCTCCTAGACCAGCCTCGCCCCCCAGGTCCTCTGGTTCTGATGGTGGCAGTGATGGTAACAGTGACACTGGGCCTCCTCATGAGGTGTGGGGTCTTCATGCTGGGTATGGAGCATCCAGCAGATATGACTGAGTCAAGGTTGCCCACCTCTCCACTTAGCTGAGATGGTCTCTGTGGGTTTCCAGGGGCAGACATGGCTGATTTTAAGACCCCTCCTCCCAGCAGAGCCGTGGCTGATTCCTCTGGGGTTCTAAGAGTGCAAGTAGCTGGGGAGGCCTGGGAAAACACTTACCTTAATGGGCATCTGGAGGGGTATCCTGGGCATGGGGAGGTATGGCAGCATGCCTGAGCAGGCAGGTAGAGAGCATGCCATCACCCTCCCCTTCTCAGTGAACCACAAGAAGTGTCAGGGTCTGTGTGGGATGGCGCTGCCAGGCCCTGAGCTTGAGCTGAGCAAGCTTCAAGCCTCCACTATTCTGACAGCCCCCAACCCACACTACTGCCAAATGGGACCTGGTCCTGCCCAGTCCTTGCCTCTGCCTCCAGGGCTCACTGAAGTCTCCCCAGCCGAAGTCACTCTGCTCAGGTGAGTCCTCCCCTTCCTTCTGAGAACCTGTGCACTCTGAACCCCCACCCCTATCCTAGTCCCTTCTGGGGTCACTTATGGGTCCCAAAGAACTTCTGGCCCAAACCAGAGGAGATGGAGGCCAGAAGAGCTCCGAAAGCGAGAGTCATTTGTCCAAGGTCAGCTGTCATCCCCCCATTTTGGGATGGCAGGGACCCTGGGATATGATTCCTTAGGAGCAAGGATTGTCTCCTCCCCAGGGTGTCTGCAAGGACCTAGAGGAAGGCCTAGACACAGACTCTCCCACCACCACCCTGACCCACACCCGCACTGTCCTCTGCTCTGGCTCTGCGCTAGTGGACAGCACCCCTGCAGGGCTTGTACTGGGGGACCTGCCATGACGCAGAGCTCACAGCCCTCCGACGGGGCCAGCTGGGCTTATGGGGTGGAGGCAACAAGGGAGGTAAAGGAGGCACTAGACCCTCTAGCACCCTTCCCCAGGCCCAGCCACCCTCTCCCTTCTAACCTGTCTTCCTGCAGAGGCCTGGGCCATGGAGCCTTTGGAGAGGTGTATGAAGGACGGGTCATTGGCCTTGCTGGGGACCCCAGCCCTCTGCAGGGGGCTATCAAGGTGAGAAGAGGTGCCATTCTGGCTGGAGGAGCGGACCAGGGCTCCATGGAGAGCAGCACGATTGCTGGAGCTAGGATCACCCCACCCTCCTCTCCTCCCCAGACCCTGCCAGAACTCTGCTCTCACCAGGACGACCTAGAGTTCCTCATGGAGGCGCTCATCATCAGGTGTGCCCAGGGCCAGGGCCAGGGGTGGCAGGTGGGAGGGAAGCACCCAGAATTGCCTGCAGAAACAAACACCCTCTCTTCACCTGGGGCTGGGAGGTGGCAAGGCTAGAGAGAGAGAGATCCTTTCCAGTTTTGTGGCGTCCTAGAGCATGGCTTCTCTCCCTGCTGGTGATGGGGTGTGTGCACCACCTGCTCAGCAAGTTCAGCCATCAGAACATCGTGCGCTGCGTGGGGCTCAGCCTCCGGGCCGCCCCTCGATTAATTCTGCTGGGATTGATGCTGGGGGAGACACGAAGAGTTTCCTGAGGCACAGCCGCCCGCACCTGGTGAGACTTTTCTCAGCTCCCAGTCCCCTCTAAAGACCTTTCCCTTTGTCCCCAAACCCACATGGACTGATGAGCCCTCTGCCCTACCCAGGGCCAGCTGTCACCTCTGACCATGCAGGACCTGCTCAAGTTGGCCCAGGACATAGCCCAGGGCTGCCACTATCTGGAGGAAAATCACTTCATACACCAGTTGGGAGTGATCCTGGTTTGGGGGAGCACCAGCCCAACTCCATCCCCCAGAAACTGTCAGTCCACATAATTTTTAAGGAGATAAACCAAGACTGGCAGTGATTTTTTTTTCACCCCACTCTGCAGGGACATTGCAGCCCGGAACTGCCTGCTGAGCTGCACCGGACCCAGCAGAGTGGCCAAGATTGGGGATTTCGGGATGGCAAGAGATAGCTAGAGGTGTGCGGACTAGACAGGAAGGCTAGTCTAGTGTGGGGAAGGCTGCTGCGCTAAGGGAATATATATGCACCCTCATGATATTTGAACACCTCATCACGCCCCTTCTCTCTTCTGCAGGGCCAGTTATTACTGGAAGGAGAGCCGGGCTTTGCTGCCTGCAAAGTGGACGCCACCAGAGGCCTTCCTGGAGGGAATCTTCACATCCAAGACAGACTCCTAGTGATAACATGCCTTCCTTCCTGCCCCGCTTTGGCCAACTCACGTGAGGGAAGGGGAGGCTGTGCCTGATGGCCTTCCTCTTCCTCATGATCAGGTCTTTTGGGAGATCTTCTTACTGGGAGATCTTCTTACTGGGCTATATGCCCGACCTTGGGCATACCAACCAGGAGGTACTGGACTTGGTTGTCAGTGGGGGATGGATGGATCCTCCTAGGGGCTGTCCAAGGCCTGTGTGAGTATGGAGTATTGCCCAGGGAGGGAGGTGCTTCACAGCCATGGGTAGGCACGAACTCCTGCCTCTCCCCGGGTACTGTATCACGACCCAGTGTTGGCAGCACCAGCCTGAACTCCGCCCCAGTTTTGCCAGCATCTTGGAGTGTCTTCAGTCTGCACTCAGGTGTGTCCCCCCACCTACCCTGACCATCCTGGTCTTGAGGGTCAGAAGGGAAACCATAAAACAACACCACGGCCCCCTGCTCTCCTACCCTCCCAATTCAGGACCTGGATGTGCTGAATTCACCCCTGCCGATGGAGCTAGGGCCCACCCTGGAGGAGCAAGGGACTTCAGGTCAGGGGAGCAGGCCTTTGGAGGGCCTAAGATTGCCACAGGTCCAGGAGCTAAGTGTGGAGAGTTTGAAGAGCTGGAGAGGAAGCCTCCTTGGCCCCTGCCTGCCTCTGGCCATGACCCTGCCAAATCTAGGGGCCTTCAAGCTCAGAACCTTTGGAATCTCACCTATGGCTCCTGGGGTCTAAGGGATCCTGAGGGGGAGGACCCAGGCTTTGATGGTAGCAATGGCTCCTCCCTCCACTCCTCCCGGAGCTTCTAGGCTGCTTGTTATTCTAGTAGCCTCTGTCCCCTGTGGTCTGCGTGGCATGTCTGGGCCTGTCTCGGGGCTGGCCTGGCATCACTGGACTCTCTGCCCTGGAAACCAATGCCAGGTCTCCTGGGGAAGAGCCTGGCCACTCCCAGCCTTTTATCTTCGGATCAAAGAGGTGACCTCCCAGGGGTGGGAGGAGAGTCAAACTGCCTCCTGCAGGAAGCCTTTGTGGATTGCTTTCCTCCCCGAGCATCCTTCATCTGGGAGCAACCATCCCTAGACATCTCTACTAAAGACCTCTTCTTCTACCCTCCAGTAACCTAAGTGGATGCGAGGGATGCCAGAGAACTGAGAAGGAGCATCAGCGGAGGGAGGGGATGAGGCTGGAGTCGCCGAAGCTGGTGTCTTTTCCTTTTATTGGGAAGGGGAGTCCATCGTAGTGTGAGTTTAGACCAATAGCTCTAGTGCTTGCGAAATAAAATTCATTTTCCATCCTCTCTGGAAAGGTAAGCAGCCCCCTCAGAAGAGCTGAGCTGAGGACGAAGCCTATTGTCCCACCCTGCCCCTGTATATTAGTGTCATAGGCTCTGGAAATGCTGGGGCTAGCGTGGGCACCGCTCCCGCTGCACATGCAGCAGTGCGCCCCAAGAGGTTGGCACCTGGTCCTGCTGGACCATGTGAGCCGCCCCGCACCGCGGGGTTTCAGTTCTTAGCCCACATGCACGACAGGGACGGGACGCAGTCGCCGTCCATCTGTCAGACCCTCCCGTCTGCGGGGACAGGGGCCCAGCCTCATCTCTGGGCCAGACTGGCCAGGATGCCAATGAGATTGTCCAGCCCCAGCAAATAGCCGTCCTCGCGGTTGCCCTCCTCCCAAGGCCGCCGGTGGTCCAGGGTCTGGCCGTCGGGGAGGGGCGTAGTCTTGCCGAAGTCGATGAGCCACACTCCAGCGCGATGACTGTGGTCGTGCACGAAGAGGAGGGAGCTGCCGATCACCTGCCGGGCCCCACACAGGGAGCTCAGAGCCCGGCGTGCCCTGCCCGCACCCTCCACCCCGTGCCCGCTGCAGCCCGCACAGCCTCACACCTGACGCTGCTCAGCTCACCTCGTGCCTCCTGAAGAACTCAGAGACCTCCAGGGTGTCTCGGATCTGCTGCAGGCGGTTCAGGTATCTCCTCTGGAGAGGGTGGGGTAGAGGGCGAGGGCCGGTCAAGGAAACGCCACCTGAGCCCTTGCTAGTATCAGGGGCCGCGACGCCTGCTCGCGAGGCTTAGCAAAGGCCTTAGGAAAATACGGGCTCCCTCGTGGGTGCCACCCAGAAGGAAGGAAAAAATGACAACACGGGCGGTAAAGACTGCAGTGGGAGTCACCCAGGGGAGGACGCTCTACTGGATGCCCCGGGGACACCCCTCAGCTTCGGGCCCGCAACACGGCAGGGCTGCAGATTCCGGGCCTCACCAACACTTCGGCATCCCCTTCCACAAACTCCTGGAAGACGTGAATCACCTGCTCCCGGCTGCGCGTGGTCTTGAAGTCGGTGCTGCAGGAGCCGTCGGCTTTCTGAAGGAGGCGGGACAGGAAATGTTAGGGGCTCCGCACCCCCTGAGGGGAGAGGATCAGGCTAAGCAGCGGTACCTCCCAGGATGTTGGCCGCCAGGGACAGCGAGGCGGAGACGGCGCCACAGGGTGCCTCCTCGGGAGGGTGGGGGGTCGGCAAGAAGGGCAGACCCCGCGCGCTGGGGCCGGGGCAGAAGAAAGGCCAGGGCGGCGCAAAGCGAAGCGGGCCTGGCCCACCTTGATGCCCTCGATGCGGAAACCAAGGGTGGTGCTGGAGCTGATGCCCTCCCGCCACTGCATGTAGCGGGGCTTGGTGACGGCGCGCTGCGCGTGCTCCTCCTCGGTGGGCGCCTCGGGGTCCACCGCCAGCATCTTCTTGTACATGTCCTTCCGCAGCTTGGGTCGCTCCCGGGCTTTCGTCAGCTCCTCTTCCAGGTAAGTCCTGCAGAGGCGCAGGCAGCCCCCGGGGCTTGAGGGTGGCCCGGGGCGCGGCGCCAAGCCCTCCTCCCCGCCCTGCGCCCCAGCTCGGTCCGGGTCAGAACCGGCCGGGCACACGCGTACCTGACGCCCATCTTGCAGTCCAGGACGCAGGGCCCGTCAAAGCCGTGCAGCAGGTCCTGCAGCTGCAGGTAGCTCTCGCCGTCGCGCTCCACCACGCCGTGGAAGGCCGGCACGCAGCCGCGCAGGGCGTCCGCCATGAGCCGCGCCAGGCAGTAGCGCTCCGGCTCGGAGCTTCGTTTCAGGATCAGCCCGCTGGTGCCCGCCGCCTTGAAACTCCCTGCAGACGGCACCGGTGAGCGTGACCCAGGCCCTTCCTCCCCGACGCCCCGCCACCCTCACCTGCCGTCTGCTCACCCGTGTGCCCCGCCAGCTGCACCCAGGAGTATCGCTTCTTGAAGGGGCTCATCACCGGGAGATTCACCATGGTGCGGATCTTCTGCCAGTGGCTTTTCTGAAAGCGACACGGTGTGGGTCTGCCGTCAGCGCCTCAGCACTGGGTGCATCAGCCCTCCCTCCTTGGAAACACGGTCTTGCCCTGCCACCCCGCGAGCAGCCAGGGCTGCTGATTCTTTCGTTCAGTCGAGGAAAGCGTGTCTGTGGCCTGCCCCTGTGGGGCACTAAGACAGGCCCCGGGAACAGTATACAGACCAGGCACACAGGCTTTCCAGTGTACTGAAAGTAATCCCGGACTGGGTGTCTGTGGAAAGGCTCAGCTTGGCCCTGCAGCTCTGCCCTTTCCGTTCACAAGCTGCGTGGGCAGGTTACAGAACTGTTCTGTGGAGGTTTTAGAACTTTTATGAACATGAGAAACATCTGATGGTCACCCTTGTTAACATGCAGATTCTCTGGCCTCAGGGAAATTCTGGGTAGGTCTGGGGCAGGACCAAGAATTTGTGAGGATTTACCAATACCTCAAGAGATTCTGGGGCCTGTGAAACAAGCCTCTGAGCATCAGTTTCTTCCTCTGTAAAATGGGGAGATAATCACTTGCATTGGGTTATGAGCAAAAAATGAGGCTGGAGTATGGCAGCGCCTCTCCCCCTCTCACCCCCTATTCATTGGCATGAAGCTGGACAAATGGAGAGTGACTGAACTTGGGAATGCTGGTTCCACTCATTTAAGAAAATAAAGACTCAGGGCGGGGAGGCCAGCCTTGCAGGGCCTGAAGAGAGAATGGCAAGAGGCAAAGCCCCTCATGCTATTCCTGGATTCCATATCACTCCTCATCAGTTTGCAAGGTCCAGGACACCCTCAGTCCTGATACTGACCCAGAAACCTGAGCTTAGAAAGTGGGATGCCTGGGCCTCCCCGGTGGTGGCGCAGCGGTTGAGCGCTGGGTTGCGAAGCTGCCCCCCCCCCAGCCTCTGCAGCACCGGTTCGATCCCCGGCTGCTCCCACGTGGAGCGCAGACCTCTCCTGCCGCCCCGCTGCTCCCCTCAGCAGTGTACTTGGGTCCTTCTGCCTTCTCTGCTCCCCACTCTGGCTCTGGTGAATTCTCTCACCCTCCCGCGCTTCTGACTGTACCCAGTGCTTGTATAAATAAATCTTTGGGGGGAAATAAATAAATAAGTCTTTGAGGGGGGAAAAAAGTGGGATGCAGCGCTGAGGGCCTTTCATCTAAGATGAACCTGTGAGGGAAATGTAGCTGTGGGTGAACCCATGCCCTTCTGACCATTGCTTCTCTGCCCAACCCAGAGGGCAACCCTAGACCTTCCCCCTTCCCACCTAAAACTTATCAGTCGCGTGTCTACGCTGTGAAGTGCACGGGTTTGTTCATCCAAATTGTGTCTGATGCCTGCCTTTTAGAGGAGTTACAGATGTGTGTGTGTGTGTGTGTGAGTGCGCGCACGCGCGTGTCCAGGCTCCTTGGCCACAGGGACAACTGGGTGGTGGCCTAAGCAGGGAGAAGCGGCTGACTATAAAGTCCTTTCCGTGGGGAGATGGGGTTAGTGAGGAAGAGTTGGATGGGGAGTTAGGCGTTGGTTCTGTCGCTCTCTAGCTGAGTGGAGCTGATGTGGTCATCGTGAGTTTCCTCAGGGAGGACAGCGCTGCCGCTGCCGTAACAGGAGCCTCCATTTCCTGGCTGCTCACTGCCTACCAGGCACTCTCCCATCTTCATTCAGATAGCGCTGCTCCTGCTTCCCTTCTCCAGTCCCTATATGGCACAATAGGGTGTGGTCACGTGTCCAATCCCCAGGGATCTGGGGGTGTAGCCAGAAGCAGCCCACTAGACACATGACATCTCTTTCAAAACTCCCATTTTTGGTCTTTAAATATATACAAGCATAATATCTGCAGCATAATAAATCCAAGTTTTATTATAAAACTCTCCCACGTCCAAATCCTCAAGTAAAATTCCAGGAAGATGTATGTGCCATGTGTATTCAGCAGAACCATCCCCTGCCCTCTCTCCCACACTCAGTTGAGAATTGCGATGACAATGATGATGCACACGCACAACAAGTGCAGAAGGCAGCAGCAGAAGGAAATCAAGGAAATTTTACAGAAGGAAATCAAGGCTCAGAGGACTTAGCATCCCCTGAGTCTCTGCCTCCAGACTCCCAGTCTCCCGCTGAAGCTCTCCACCAGCCCCACTCCCTCCCCAGGTTCCAACTGCCTCAGAAGGTACATTCCAAGGTACTGCCCTGACTCCCTTTGAGGGCCAAATGAGACCCACATGAGAAAGAGCATTGTATGGGTGAAGTGATCTGCAGTTATGAAGTGGAACAATTGGGGCCTCCTGGTGGCACAGGGGTGAGTCTCAGTGCTATCGCCACTATTGTCTGCGTTCAGTCAGGCCCGGGAGGTGACCCCCATGGCACAGCAGACCTCTCCTGCCTCGCCCGCTGCTCCCCTCAGCAGTGTATTTCAGTAGATCCGCCTGTTCTGCTCCCCACTCTGTCGCTGGTGAATTCTCTCACATTCCCCCCACCCTGTACCTCTGACCTATACCCCAGTTCTACACAAAAAAATAAGAAGAAGAAGAAGAAAATAAATCTGGGGAAACACTGGATACTTTTACCTTCACCCAAAGGAATAGGTTTAATGGTGAGCTTCAGGTAGCTAGAGAGCCCTATTGGCAGAATTTGGGGGACACTGGGACCAGAATGGACTTAATCAGAGGGTATATCTAGTTCTACAGTCATTCCAGTGGGAGGGGGAACCAGCCTCAAGTGAGATGGGAGAACCTTCTGTTCTTTCCTGCAGAGAGTAAGGCAAGAAGGTCTGCTAGACTAGGAGGACTCAGTACCTAAACTCCTGCGCCACTTAACTGCTCCTTGACTGAACTGTGGTAACACAGATTTGACTTGCCCCCAAGCTGGGGGAAAGTGGGGTCAACAGCTGCTCTCTCTCTCTCTGAATTTGTGAGAATCCTATCATTCAAGAGCAGCCGTGACTAAGGCTGTTTCCAGCCATGCAGGTTCCAAAGAGCTTCCATCTCCATGATATCCATAGAGGCCTCCCAGCCACTTCCCGAGGTTAGCGTGACAGAATTCAGCGCCCCTGCCAGTAACTGTGGAACAGGATTCCACCACTGACACAAATGTTGACACAAATGTCATGGAACGCGCTGCCATTTTCCATCTTAAAGAGCCACCTCTTCCAGGGAACATGCTGCATATAAAAATGCATGTATTCAAAAATGCTCCTGGAGAATCATTCTTCGGTGGGTGGATGGATGGGAGGGTGGGTGGGGATTTTGGCACATGAATAACAGCAGGGAAGATATTTTGGAGCAGGTAAGGCTTTTCGCCTGCGGATATCAGAAAGCAGGTTTATTATGCTAGGGTGAATTCTAGCTGAAAAGGGGGCCAACGCCTCACCCTCTTGCCCAGTCTACACCCTGCAGAAGTCTGAGAAACCGACTTGCAGGGCAAAAAAGCTCAGGGGAGCTGACCGTGTGTAAGACTCTGATGAAATCACAGGAGGACCCTCTGCTAAGTCCTCACCCCTGGGGCTGAACGGGAAGCAGCTGCCTTTGGGGAGACACTAGCCTCAGACCCTGCTCTTGTCTATATTCTCTTTGGAAGCCTGAGGAGTTGGGCTTCTAAAACCAGTGTAGCTTCTTTCCCTGTGGTGCTCATACCCACACAGTGCGAGTCCCTAGAATCCCACTCAGCACCCCCAGCCCTCCAGTCCCTGGTTGACGTGCTCCACCAGCCACCCCCTTCCCACCATCCAGTTGCCCCCGTCAAACTGGCACTCTGTGGCGGTGGGAAGAGCAATCAGTTTAAATTTATAAAAGGATCTGCACTAAGGTACAAGTGACCCACGACTTCACCCTCCCAGGGGCATTTACTTTTTAAAAAGGAACTCTTAACCTAAATTCTGCTCTATAATTAGAAAAGTGAAGTATGGGAGTTCTGGGTCCAGGATGGGATGGCATCCAGGTCTCCTTACCTGTCCCGGAGCACTGACAGACCCAGATGAACAGGCGCCACAGCAGCACCTCAAAGTTGTTCTAAGGGGTAGGGGAGGCCTAAGAGTAAGCCATGGCAGCTGCCCTTGGGGGAAGGCCCCCAACTCTTCCCGCCTGTGAGGGTTCCCCTGCCCATGACTTTGGCCTCCCACAGAACAGCCCGGCTCTCTCTACGAGAGGAAAGGCCCCCTGGGAAGGAGCAGGCTGCTCGGGAGTGCCAGCTCCCCTTGGGAGCGCCGGTTCCGAGCTCCGGGCAGGCTGCGCGGGGCCCCAGGAGAGCAGGGGAAGGATGCACGTGCCGGCGGAGACCTGGAGACTTTTCCCGGGCCTCCTGCGGCGTCTTTATCCCCCAAGGCCCGAGGGCAAGAGGCCCCGGAGCTGGGGGTTCCCAGCGCGCCCTTCTCGCGGCGCACCCTTCGGGAAGCCCGAGGGGCTCAGCTTCCTGCCCCGGGAAGCCCTGAGGCCGCTCCCGGACCCGCGGCGAGGCAAAGTCCGCGCCGGGCCCTTCCACGCGGACGCAGGCGGCCTCTGTCAACAGCCCCGGGCTTATCTGCCGCCGCCGTGGCTGTTTGCCTTCGGGGAGGCCCCGGCGGGCTGGGGGTTGGGAAGGCCCGGGAGACACAGTCGCAGGGCTGGAAGGGCCCTCCGCGGCCATCTGCTCCCGCGCCGGCGCGCCCGGGGCCGCCGGGGGTCAGGGGGGGAGACGCCAAAGCCTGGGGCGCAGCCGCGCCCCGTCCCCGGAGTCTGACCCCGCGGGGAGGGCCCGCGCGGCGCGCAGCTCGGCCGCCTGCGGGCGGAAGGGGGCGGGGGGCTGCCCTCGGGGCGCCTTCCCTCCCGCGCCCGCCTCTCAGCTGTCAGGGAGTTGAGCGGCGGGGCGCGGCGGACCCAGGGCGACTGCTCCGGATTTTCAAGGAGGTGGGGAGGGAGCGGTCCTCGCCTTGCTCCACATTCCACCGCTTTCGGAAAGCCCTCGGCGGCACCCGCCTCCCCGTAGGGGTCGGGGCACCCCTAGCCCGGGCGCGGAGGGGGACTCCCCGCACCCTGCGCCTGGGGCGGGTGTGTTCCTGCTCGGCGCGACTTTCTTTCTCTCCTGGCGGCACAAAGCGCGCCGCCTCTGCGCACGGTGGAGTGTCGGGGTGAACCCAGCCGCGGACCCAGCGCGGGCCAGGTCCCCGCGCGTGCAGCCCGCGCGCCGCAGCGGCTGCTCCAGGCCGCGCCCCGGGCCTCTCCCCCCGCGTGCCCGCGGCCCGCGCCTCTCCCTCGGCTCCGGGAACACTCGCACGAAGTGGACCTAGAGCTTCTCCTGTGCGCCGACCGGGCAGTTATGCCAAGTATTTGGCCTCGATTACCACGAGGCTAAGACGGCGGCCCTGGGCGCCGCGCGCCCCGCGGGGGCAGGTACCCGGAGGCTTCGCGACCCCCGACCCGGGTGACCCGGGAGGCGAACCTGGGCCCGGGACCCCCAGGCTGCCAGAGGCCGAGCCCGGCGGGGGATCCCGCGCTGTCTGCCTCAGTTTACCTTGCCCCGGGCTCCGAGCGCGAGCACTGAGCGGGGCGCTCGGGTGCCAGGGCCGCCGGCCGCGCGCCCCCCCGCGTCCACGCCCCGCGCGGGCGCCCGAGCAGACGGCGGCGGCTCGGGGCGCAGCGCCTGGAGCTCGCTCCACTCCCACTCAGGAGAGGGAAACCGTGGCAACGGCGGGGGTGGGGCCGCGGCGCCGGAGAGGGGGCGGGGAGAGAGGAAGACTCGTTCGCCCCTTTCCGCCAGAGTTCGCGGGGCGCCCCCCGACCCCCGCGCCCCCCGCGCGCCGGCGCCGCGCCCCCGGCCCCTCGCGGGGCCCCGCTCTTCCCCCGGCTCGCCCCGGGGCGCGAGCTGGAAAAGCGCCGGGGCGGCCTGGGGTTTCGCCCCGGCCCGGGCGCCCCCGTCAACGGTGGGAGCGCGCGCTCGGCAGAGGGAGCCCCGGACCCCGCGTCCCCGCGGCTGCGGCCCCGCCGCGCTGGCCCCGCCCCCGCGCCGGTACCTGCCCCGCGTCCTCGCCCGCGTCCAGCTGCACGTTGCCGCGGCTGCGGCTCTCGCTGTCGCTGAGCAGGTCGTCCTCCGAGTCCTCGGGCAGCGACGAGGAGCCGGTGGAGGACAGCGACGAGGTGGACAGGCGGCGCGGCTGCTGCAGGTGCGCGGAGCCCGCGGCCGGGAGCCAGCCGCCCTGGGGCTCGGGCGGCCCGGGGCTGGCCGGGGGCACGTCGGGCTCCTCGGCCGTCACCGTCAGCTGCGGGATCACCGGGGCCGGGGGCGCGCGCGGGAGCCCGTTGGGGACCTGGCCCCCGCGCCGCTTGGCCCCGCGGGCCCGGGGCTCCCCCGCAGCGGCGGCCGCGGCGACCGCGGCGCAGCGCGCCTCGAAGAGCAGACGCAGCTCCCCGACGCTCCGGCGCGGGGCCCGCTCCAGCCCCGGGCTGCAGGGCCCCGCGCCCCCAGGCCGCGCCATGCCCGTCGGGCCCCCGGGCAGGGTCATGTCCCGGCAGCGGCGCCGCAGCGGAGCCCACCAGCCCGCGGCGCGGCGGGGAATGGAGGCGCTCGGCGCCCCCGGCTCGGGACTGCCCCGAGGCGGAGCCTGCGCGGCCACCCGCCCGCCCGGCCCCGCCTCGGCCGCGCCCCCCGCCCACTCCTTTCGCTTTCAGGGAAAGCGCGGGCCGGCGAGGACGGGCCCGGCGGGGAGGGCTCCGGCGGCCGGGAAGCCCGGACCGCGTGGACGCCGACCCAGCCCGGCCCCGCGGCCCCCCCGCGCGGCCCGAGGACTCGGGCGGGGCCGCTCCGCCCCCGGGCCCTCCAGCTGCTCCCGGCTCCGGGGCTGGGAAGAAGCCCCGCTGGCGCCGCCCCGGGCTCTGCCCCCGCCGGAGAGGAGCCGGCCCCGCTCTTGCGCTCGCCGCGGCTCCTCCGAGCTCCTTTCCGAGTTCGGGGCATCCCGGGCCGAGCTGTCCGAGTCTCCCGGGCCGCGGCTTTTCTCCACCCTCAGCCTCTGCCGCCCAGAGGTCGGGCTGGGCCGTCAGCCTCGCGAAGGAGCCTCACCCCACTCAGTGAGCCCCCAGAGGGGACTATCCTGGGACCAACTGAGGTCGCTCCCTCCCGAGCTCCCCGCCTCGCGGAGGGCAGGGAACAAGGTCAGGAGGCGGGTCCTGGATGCCTCCAGGTGGTGAGCGCAGGCCTCGGCCACGTCCGGGGCCGGGGGTGGGGGGGGTGGACGGAGCCCTTCTTCCTGCTTCCCTGGGGAGCTCTGGCCTTGGTGGCCCTGAGCAAGTCATTGCACCTCCTTGAACTGCTGGTTCTCCTCCGCAAGGTTGTTGCCACTTCTTAGGATTGCTGTGAGAATAAAACAGAACGAGAAGTGTGGAATCTCTAAAAGGTGAGAACAGTTTTAGTGCGGGGGGGGGGGGGTAGGAAGAGCCGCTCTCTATTGCACCACATTCTAGATGTGCTTTTAGGCAGCCCCTTGAGCCCTCAGAGTCCTGCTTCCTCACTGGTAAATTTAGGGAACCTCACCGGAGCCTCTGGAAGAGCCCACAGATGCCCGGGAGGTTTTCCTGCACTGCAATAATGCGGCTCGTGGGGGCATCGCTCTTGGCGGGTCTTCACCCGCTTCCCAGGTGAGTGGTCAGCTGAGCTGCAAGTCCCAGCTGCATAGAAGCCGGGATTTCTCAGGGATTCTTGTCTTCCCCCAAATGCCGCCGGTGAGGACCCCTCATCAGGCACCCGGCGCTGAAGGGCGGCTGGGGCCTGTGGAGAGAGCACCCGCAGGAGGTGCTCCAGCTCTGAGTGAAGCAATGCAGAAGTTTCCTTCCCTCCTCCTTTCAGCCAGAACTCCAGGATGACCAGAGGGAGAGAGAAAGGAGGATCCAACGAGGGAAGGGAAATCCTCGCCACGAAGAAGGGAGCATGTCCTGGGGGAATGCATGCAAGTGAAGGAGTGGCAGGTAGAGAGGATGGGAGTGAAGGGGTAAGAGAGAGAAATACGGGAGTTTGAGTCCTGGGTGGAGAACTGTGGGGTAGCACAGGCTTCCTCCTCGAGGCAGAGGTCGCCGGAACCTCGGTGTTAGTGGGAAGGGCGTACTCTAGAGCTTGAAAACCCAGAAACACCCTTGCCCCCTCCACGTCTCTCCCTCCTTTGGAACTACCAGGGTCCACAGCATCTGGGAAGGTGCCGCCCACAGAAGGGGGCAGGGGCGGGTGGCATACGCAGAGTGGAGAATGAGCCAGAACTGTCAAGGAAGGACATGTACTGCCCACCTGGGTGCCCAGCAGTGTGTGGGCAATGTTGGAGGCACACGCAGGCTGGGAACTAGGTCTCCATCCTGGCCGCCAAGAGAAAATTCAGGGGCAGTGCCTTTTCTTGTATCAGGCCCTTGGCCAAGGGCAGCAACCAAAGAGGACTTCTTTGTCATATCTGCCCAGGTGTTTCTCACCAGAAAGGTAAGGGCAAACCTGGAAATGGGTATTGAAATGAGAGCTACCTTTCTAGGGGTGGAGAGTGGGAACCGCCCTTAGCAAAAGAATAAAGTGACTTGGGCCTCCCCGGTGGCTCCCGGGCCACTCCCCGGCCACCAGAGGAGGGTCCCACATGGCGCGCAGACCTCTCCTGCCGCCCGCTGCTCCCCTCAGCAGTGTACTTTGGTCCTTCTGCTGCTGCTCTGCTCCCCGCTCTGGCTCTGGTGAATTCTCTCACCCTCCCGCGCTTCTGACTGTACCCAGTGCTTGTATAAATAAATAAATAATTTTTTTAAAAAAAGAGTAAAGTGACTCAACCAGGGAGATTAAGGCTCTTGCATATAGCCATGCGGACACTTGGTGGAAAAGCCAGGGTGTGTCCTGGTTAGGTCTCCTGCCCTCTCCTTGCGTTATGCTACTTCTCTCAATAACATCTTGTCGTTCAGCCCCTGTTCCTTACCCAAGGAAGGCAGAGCTGGCCTCCACCAACCACAGGGGAGAAACATGAAGGCCCAGGGCGTGGCTATCCCTGTGTATCTGTGGGAGAAAGTCAAGGGGCTCTCATATCCTCTGGGTCAAGAATAACCCTTTGAATCCTAAAATCTGGTTCTTTGTGCCTCAGTTTCTCCAGTGCTTGAGGGTGTGCGATGGCATGGCTAGAGGAATGTGAAGAGAGAATATTAAACTGTCTACTATGGAGGGAGAGGAAAGGTCTCTGATATGCTGCAAAAAAATGGTCACTAGGTGGCTGTTCTGAGATAGGCCACACAAGTCACAGACTTATCCACAAGGCCATTCATATGTCCAAGGAGAGAATGGATTTTTTTCTTGTGGCATTTCAGTTCAGGGGTTCTCCTGTAGTTTTCTGGGGTTCCTGAGTTATCACTCCTCTCCCTGGTCTTCTGGATTTATCAGTCTTAAGGGCTACATCTCTAAGGGGGGAAAATCCCTGGGGCACAGGACCTGGAAAAAAGCATGTGAGAGGTGGGAGGCTTCTGGGGACTTGCCTCATTTAGCCCTGACCTTCCCCTGCCTTTCCTCCAGGGCAGCACTAGTGGACCCAGGGCAGGAGCAAGGTCACTGCTTCCCAAGACTCACAGGTAGGGGGTCTCCCTGATGATG